TCTTGATGGACTTGTCTATGTTCATTCTTCTTCTTCTTTATTATTAGTGTGTGAGACTTGTAAGAATTCTAGTTATGTTGATGGTGTCCGTCGCGCTTTAGGATTTATAGATAGTAAGATTTTTTATCTTACTTGGACTTTAGGTGGATTAGTTGTCACTTGGAATTTGGATTTATCTATGCCTTTCGTATGTTTTGATTCTTTTTATTTGTCTTTGCAAATTAAGATTAATGATATTAGCTATGATATGGTTTTTGTTCATTTAAGTTGTGATGATGGGATTCGTAATAGGCAATTTCGTTGTTTAACTAACTATTGTATGCATCTAACATCTAGCTATTCGTTAAATGATTGTGGGTGAATACAACAATTTATTTTATTCTTCCAGAAAACAAGGGGCGAGATTTGATATTACACGACGGCAAGTTTTTCATTTGTTTGTGAACAGGCTACTTGATATTGGTTTTATGACGTCAAGATTTACCTAGACTAATTGGCATGATCAGTCGTCTTTTATTCAAATTAGACTCGATAGGTTCTTATTTTCTCTAGGCTGGTTAGATAATTGACCTCGTAGTCAGGTTCAACACCTCACTGATCGAGGGTCTGAGCATCGCGCTATCTTATTTCGGTGGGCTCATAACATATTCGTGGTAAGAAATTTTGTATGTTCGATACAAGGTGGAGTGATAACGTAGAAGATGAACAATTGATGTGGAAGCATAGGATTAATAAGTCTTTGATTCCCCGAGTTTTCAGCTCTTTACCTGGATGAAGCAAAAATGGCAGTTTTCTTGTAATGTATAAGATGTTTAATTGGGCTAAAGTAGACACTTCTAACTCTACTCTTCAAATCAGAAAGCTTCATTCTAGTTCTAAATATGTTAGGAATCACGACCCTCCTATGTGATTTGTTTTGGTTAGTCTATTAGTTGTGATGCGGAAGCCACATGGCATAAATTGTGTTGTTGGTATGGAATCCATATGAAAGCCAAATTCCCAACCAAAAAGAGATCGCAATCAATGCCTGGGTTTTTTCTTCATCGCTAACCCAAGTTTGTGATTAGGTGCCACATGTCCATCGTTGTGGGATTCTAGCGCGCTCCAAATCACTCTAAATGTTCAGTAATTGTCGTCACTCACGATTAAATTAAATCGAATTGGTTGGACGCAATATCTTTATTGATCACTTTGGATCATAATATTTGAACAAAATATTATTTGTTACAAATCTAGGCCAAACTGCTGAGTTTTATTCAATGTGAACAAACAATCTAAATATAATGATAGTTGTTCTAAATCTCTATTAACCACTACCCCATGACTGACTCCGTAACCCTGGAACTTAGCCAAAAAAACTTCAAAGAATTTCAACCCAAAGCTACTAACTCAAAGACACAAACTAACATAAATTTTGACCCAACTGACTAAATCTACAAACTTCAGTGACTAAACGTGAATTACTCCATACCACACAACTTCACTTACATCATTTGAATCCTGAATTGGAGTCAAGCATTTGATCTTTGCGGCAAACCAGGTTCGAGACTTGCCATCTGCATATCCTCCCCTTGAACTAGAGTCTGGTAAGACTTCAGTTCATCTTCAATCTTGTCTTTCTCCAATGACTCCAGGCAGCTCCCTGACTCCCAGCTTATGGCAAAAATGCTCAAAAGTCTCTTCCTTCACAACCTTGGTCATTAAGTCAGCAATCTGAAGTTCAGTTCAACAATGCACAAGTTCAACAGTTTCATCCTTGACCAGATCTCTTAGGAAATAAAACCTTACATTTATGTGATTGGTTCTGCCATGCAGCATTAAATTCTTTGACAATTTGATTAATGAGGTTATGTCACATTAAATCTTGGTTGCTTGGCTTTCACTAGATTTCCACCCCATCTGTTCTCGGATTCTTCTAAGCCACATACATTGAGCACTACACCCTGCAGCAGGTATAAATTCAACTTCCTTTGTGGACAAGGTAACTACTGGTTGTTTCTTTGGAGCTCAAGGCACGACACCGCCCATAAGAAAGAACACATAACCACTTGTACTTTTCCCATCATTCACATCACCAACATAGTCATTGTTAGCGTAATCCACTAGGTTTCCTTCTTCTCCTCCCTTCTTATACTAGATTCCATGACTTAGAGTTATTTTTAGGCACCTCAATACTCTTTTTGTTGCAAGCATGTGTTGCCTGGTTGGAGACTTCATATACCTGCTTACAAGACATGCTAAAAACATTATGTATGGTCTTGTAGTAGTCATTTACAACAAGCTTACAATCAATTGCTTGTAATTCGTTGCATCTATTGGAATTCCATCCCCCTCAATTGACAATTTTGTTTCAAGCAACCTTTAGATTATTGACTAGATTGCATTTCAAGAGTTTGAATATGTTAAGAACTTCTGTTGCATACTTATGTTGTGACTGAAATATGCCTCATTCTTTCTTGATCACCTCAAATCCCAAAAATACCTCGTCTTGCCTAGGTCTGGCTTGTCAAATTTTTGTTGCATAGAAGTATTGAATGCAGCAAGCATGGATTCACTGTTACTAGCATACATAACATTATCGACATAGAGACTTACTAGTAGCAGTTGTGATCCTTACCTCTTTATAAACAATGTATGCCCATATGTGCATCACTCAAGCCCAGATTGCTCAAAGTAGGATTCTATGTGACTGTACCAAGCCCTTGGAGCTTGCTTTAATCCGTACAAGGCCTTCTTTGACTTAAAACCTTGCCTTTCTTCCCTGGAACTAGAAATCATTCAAGTTGAGAAACATAAACATCTTCAGTCAACTCACCATGTAGAAATGCACTTTCAACATCTAGCTGGTAGATTGTTAAGCCATGAGCAGCAGCTTAAGTCAATAATGTTTTGATATTGTGACATCCTTCTACTGGTAAAAAAAACCTCATTGTAGTCTATGCCATGTTGTTGTGCATACTCTTTACTACAAGCATGCCTTGTGTTTATCCCTCTCACCATGTTCATTCAGTTTAGTCCTGAGCACCCATTTGAGCCGAATAGGGACAATACCTAGTGGTGGAGTTACCAGAATCTAGGTAGCATTCTTTCAAGAGAGTCCTCTTCAAAGAACTTAGGATCATCAATAGTGGTCAGCATAGAAGTCCATTCAAATTGTAGACACACCATCTCAAGTCATCAAAGTGAGATGAAAATTTAGAGACTCTAGGATTCAACTCTCCTAGGGGTAAACTTAGTTCATTAGATGAATCATCCTCGTCATCATCATTTTCAGTGATTGGACCTAGATCAGGTGTTTCTGATGATTCGGCTCAAGGAAGTTGGTTTCAAAGTTAGTGTCCATTGATAACTGACGCTCTCCAAACAACAAACTAAGAGTCATTCAATCTCATCGATCAAACTCCATGTTCTATTTCTTTTCTTATCATTTCCTCTTTCGTGACTCGTTAGGGATTCAAGAAAAGTTTAATATGTAAGGCAAATTCGTAGAAGTGAAAGAACGTCTGGCGCACAACGAACCAATAGTATGTTACCCACTCCTTCAGATAATGAACTCATGTTCAAGTTCAAGTATTTTGGTACCGAACGATCATATAACTAGTGCGCGGTTAGCTTACCTCCCAAAGTGATGGAGGTTCATGTTATCACGTTTTGGTGGCAGGACGATTGCGCTAGTTAAACTTATCTCGGGACCCCCTTTCATGCAAATTATTTTAAGTAAAACAAGCTTAAATATATGCAAGCATCACATGAGCATTCATGTATGCAACTAAGCATTGTTAAGTTACTTCTAAGTAACCAAAAAGATGAACCTAGGACTTAGACCTGACCACATACCTGCCCTAAAAAATTATAGGATTATCAGCAGCTCACTTAAGCCAGTAGGCTGGATCATGACAAGGTTTAAGGCTTTAGAGGACTTACCAACTCATCGTGATTTGGAGAAAAAAGTCGACCGCTTTCAACAATAGGCCGACCACTTCCGACAAATGGTCGACCTGATAACACGCTTACCTTTAACTTACACATGGTTTTTGGAAGCGGTAGACCACTTCTGTTAAAAGGTTTACCACTTATGGCAAATGCTTTACCGCTTTCAGCGAACGTTTTATCACTTCCAACGAACGATCAACCAAATGACATAATTACCTTCTACTTACATTAAGAAATAATGGACAATAGGAGGCCTACAATCCGCATTGTTTCATAGTAATGCAACATCCTATCACCCATGGGCAGCCAAGTCTCTATGTAGATAATGGCAAATAACACTCTCTTTAACACTTTTGGAATAAGAACCCGTATAAGTAAGATGATAGAAGATTTATAGACGTTGAAAATAACACAATTGTATGACAATTATACGTACTTTTTAAGTATTTCATAACAACAATAGCAACAAAGCTCCTTCGTCACAAGATAAATATAGAATAAAAAACAAGTAAACTTGAAGAAGAAAAGATAAAAATCTCTCTAAGTCAAATCTAAGAAATAAACGTGCAAAGCATTTTTTAAATATATGAGAGAATATTCACATGAGAAACTTCTCATCTATGCTTTAACCTTTGTACTAACTTCAACTCTTTTACTAGCAAGCATATCTATTAATATTGGGTATCTCTAATTAAATATATTTATTTCACTAGCAGTGGTTCATCCGGTTGATTTGTTGTTGGAAGTAATCGACCACTTGACAAAAACAGTACCACTTAGTGGAAACAGTAGACAACTTTGTAGAAGCAATAGACTATTTTCTCTAAATCATTTTGACTCTTTTTAATTTGTAAATCATTGTAACAAAGTCCAAATATTTATGGTGTATATATACAGATAGATTTAGTAAACAAAATATAACGAGAGATCAATCTTTGTTTGTTTATAAAATAGAAAGGCGCAAAGTTGCGTAGATTAGTGGGAGAATAAATGAATGTGTTAAACGCTTCGTCATTGTTGCCCCATGAAATGAAGAATATATACAATTTGTAACCTGCCAAGATGACTCGATATTGGAAAACTAAAATCTTCCCCGTTCCCCTTTACTGCTCTGGGATTTTTCATCGACTATGGAAGGAGGAAGTGCGGTGCCGGAAGAGCTGCCGGAGATCATAACGAACAAAGACGAGATGAGGAAATGGTCACGGGCCATGAGGTGCCGCGGCAACACCATAGCCTTGGTACCCACAATGGGTTATCTCCATCAGGGCCATTTATCCCTCGTCGAAAAAGCTCGATCCCTAGCCGATGTCGTCGTCGTTTCAATCTACGTGAACCCAGGTCAATTCTCTCCCTCCGAGGACCTCTCCACTTACCCATCCGACTTCGACGGCGATATCCGGAAGCTCGGGTCGGTTTCCGGGTGCCGCCGGGTCGACGCTGTTTTCCACCCCCGCAATCTCTACGACTACGGGATCATTGGCCGGAAAGGGAAAGGGGGTATCGAATTCGAGGGTTTACGAGAGGAAGGGGAAACAGGGTTGCCGGCGTCAGGGGTTTCGTCATGTGTGGAAGAAATGGGCGGCGGGCACGAAACGTGGGTGAAAGTGGAGAGATTGGAGAGAGGGTTGTGCGGGAAGAGCCGGCCGGTGTTCTTCAGGGGAGTTGCGACGGTGGTGACCAAGCTGTTCAATATTGTGGACCCTGATGTGGCTGTGTTTGGGAAGAAGGACTACCAGCAGTGGAGAATAGTTCAGCGAATGGTGAGCGCAATCTGTAAGCTTCTCATGCCATTTCTTTTGTGTAGATCGAAATGTAGCAGATATGTGCTTTGCTGGTATACAACACAAGAAGAATCACTTGCGGATTCGGAGCTGGGTGTTGTTGTCCTGCGAAATTTGCTTCCCAATTAGCATCAGTGCCTCAAATTTGATCTCAGTGTGAATAGAAAGAATTGCATTTGCAGTTTACTTGGTTTGATCAGGCACTGGGATGAGGAAGGTGTTTAGTCGTTGGAAGTAACGTTAATAGGATTAAGCCTTTTCCTTGTGCTAGAGCTCTCTTTCCCTTGTACGTAGGTTTGACCCATACTCTAGAATGATGAAATTCTGCTATATGGGTGTTACATCCTGCTGTGCTGTTGATTGATCTGGCTCCCTACAGGTTAGAGATCTTGATTTTGGGATAAGGATAGTTGGGTCTGACATACTGCGTGAAGAAGACGGCCTGGCAATGAGTTCGCGCAATGTGCGCCTCTCCCCAGAAGACAGAGAAAAGGTTCTCCCCTCCTCCACTCTTAGCACCTTTCAGCCTTCCGGTCTTGTAATTGACCCTAGCTCAGTGTATCGCAGGCTCTGTCGATAAGCAAGTCTCTCTTCCAAGCTAAATCATTGGCAGAGACAGGCCAGACGAATTGCGGGGAGTTGCGGGATTCTCTTGTGCAAGCAATAACTGGGGCTGGAGGGAAGGTTGATTATGTTGAGGTGAGTCCTTGCTTGCATTTGAACACACCCTTTCATATTCCTGAGTCCCATTATTGTAATGTGTGTGTTGGTGTTTCCAGATAGTGGATCAACAGAGTTTGGAGACAGTGGGGGAAGTAAATAGCCCAGTTGTAATCTGCATCGCAGCATGGTTCGGCAATGTTAGATTGATAGACAACATAGAGATCAGCGTCTAAAGAAGAGAGACAAATGCGTGTCCTTCATCCTGTATTCGCTCGTTTTGGGACTATAGATTTCTATTTGCATTTCCCTGACAAATAGTCCCAACTCCACCTGGGAGGGATTCATGTTCATGTCACCTTTCTGATGCATTTCCAGTTTTACGAGTACTAGTTTCAAAGAACAACCCAGACAATCGACGGATAACGTCCGGGAAGATCCAGCTCCTTGGGAGCAATTCATGTCAAATAATACGACAATTTTTTTTTTCAAACACTCACAAACCAAGACATTTTTCCTCGCTACAAAACATGTTCACAAAATTTCTTCAAATGCGACACACACTATTACTATATTGTTCCAAAATACTTCAAGTTTGGGTGAAGTTGTTGCGCACTCTAGTGATTTTGTTGCAAATTTACTGAAGTCGACAATGCTTTTACAAGGATTGTTGCCACCCTAAACGATAGTAATATCATTTTGCAACAAAATGGATAGAAGACTAGTGATTTCCATCCAAGTTGGAACTTCAAATGGTTTTACTTTTGCGTTTAATTATCCAATTGTAGAAATTATATTTCTTATTTTGTAATATTTTGACGTAAATTATGTGAAAAAAATGAAAATCACTAAAGTTCATTGCAATTTTTTCTAAACACTTGGCATGATAGCAATCTCGATAAAATCGTCATAGATCCTCAAAATTGTATTCTTTTTAGCAAAAAATAATGTGTATTATCAAGAAAAATGAGATACACACGAATTACATGACCACACGCATCCAATAACAGAAATCGAATCCTACCAAACTAGAAAACAATGAAGGAAATTTTCTATCCATAATATCGATCGACCTATTCTCCGAACGACCAACAAAGCAAATACAGACAATGTGAAAGCACTAAAGTAGCACCTGGATTTCTTCAAATATTGCTGCCCCACAATTCTGTCCAAATTTAGGTGCTTTAGAAAATATTTCTATAGTATTCTGGAAATTTTTTTAGTTTGTCATGTAGTTCGGGAAATAAATCCCATAGAAAAGTGATCCAATGAGTGGCGTAAGACGACTCCCTTCATGGCATCCATCAATCAAAATGGGGCAAACAACACAAGTGAAGTGATCAAAGCAAGCACCCACGCATTCAAAGAAACATTACTAGTATCCATTCAAAAAGGGGAGGGAAAGAAAAACAAAAAAAAAAAAACTATACAAGCGTAAGTCCCCGGATATGGTAGCTCTCGCAAAGAACATGGTAGCAGAAAATGATACTAATGACATTTGAAACCCCCGCAAACAGATAATACTATGATGAGAATCAATGCGATTATGATCCCCAGCACTATCAGCTTAATCTTCATGTTCTGTAACCACATCTTCCTCCTCATCGTCGTCCCTTGCTGCCTGAAATCTTGTGCCTGCAGCGAAGCACATACTTAACACCTTAAGAGACTGGCATAGTGGGATTTAGCAAACAAAGAACAGAGTGAAGGCTTTCTATAGGCAATGTAAAAGGCATTCTGTATGTAGAACAGAGAACAAATTCTGCACAGACATAGCTTTAAGTAATACCAACTTATCTTTTAAATCAAGAGAGAGAAAAAAAATTAGAGTATTCAAACTAACACCAAGTTTCATGATGCGGGTCTAAACATGTCTATCAAGCTTAAGGGCAAATTTTAATTGGTTCACAAGGTCTTAGCACTGTCCCACTACTTTCAAATCTAAACCTGACCAACTCATGTTTGGGGAGAAAAGCAGAGTAATCCAAACATACCTGAGATCTAAGGTTTTCGGTTTTGTCAACGAGAAGCTCAATTTTCTCCCCACGGTCAAGTACCTGTAGCAGCAAAGATAACAAGTAAACAAACTAATACGGTGCTCAATCCATCATTGGCCTTAATCAGTGCACGACTTAAGAGGCCGGTAAAACCCACAGTTATGGGGCTGGGGAGATTTACCAATTTAAGATGAGAAAACAAAAGAAAATAAGAAATAGTCACTGTTGGCATTTCCAAATAAAATTAAGTGATATATACCTTTTCTATATTGTCCATCATAACTCCTTTAACTTCAGAAACCTGAGCTTTCACCTTAGCAAGTTTGCTGACCTCTTCAGGGTGATCCACACAGTATTGCATCTGCTCCTTCAACTTGGGCCTGCACAAGAACCAAGAGGTCAACAACATGGCTTGCCAGAAAAGGTAAGAGTAACATCCACATTCCTAAGCATTAAAATAATTCACCCATATTCTTTGTTCAGGCTCTGGGCAACTGATGTTGCGGCCTTTCCTCCGCCATATCTCTTACTGAAGTCCTCTTTGATCCGCTCAAGGAAAGCAATTGGAACCTGTCGTCCAACAGACTCCACAGCGACCACACAATAAGCTGAAAATTCACATGTAGATAGTTAATCCAAACAGGAGAAAATACACCAAGCTCAACACAGTGGACCAAACAGGGATGAGTGGAAGTCTAGTTAATGAAATGAGGATTGATTACACACTCCCGGTAAGTAACAACAACCTCTCATCAGAACTTCTAAAATCAGGTTTATGTACTGGCTAAGTAGGAGAATGGAGACACAGTTCACATTTTGCATAAACACCTCAAACATTTATTTGAGATACAAATATAGATCATCACCAATATCTCAGGGTCCTTGTAATTTGTAATAATGTTTCAGTGCTCATGGTTTGACAAATAGATTGCAACTAGGAATGATAGAATAAGAATCTGAACATGAACATGAGACTCATAATACCATTTATGGCCTCTGAAACTCATCCTTGCACCCAAATACACCAGACCAGGAAATGTCAACTTAAAAAGGGGGAAAATTACCCACTCAAATCTACAAGGAAATTCAAATTCAGGGACACTCGGAAGCCATCAAGGGAATCCAACAAGTAATAATCAGCAAACGCAAACTGAACACTCGCTACAAGTCCTTTAGTGCCCTTATATAACCTCAAGTCTCTTTCTTAAGGATCCAGAGAAGTCGGATACAAATCGATTCGTATCGCTTCATAAGGTAAAGAATTCATCGTTGTTGATTCCCTACTCAGTCCCCCGATACACCTCTCGCACGTGCAGACGTAGCCGAACTAGTCAACCTTCTGATTCAAAGAATTAACTCGAACAAAGCAAAAAAGAGACATGCAAACAAAAAAGCTATACTTCTGATCTGAAGAATTGGTAATCTAGAGTAATAACCTCAAACGGAACAAGATCGATAAACGGGAGGAAATAGCCAATCAAAACCATTCAACGTCGCAGACGCAGAGATCACGGCAGGACGAACAAGAACAAGCAGAAGGAAGAAAGCAAAGAGGAGAGAGAGGAAGGAGCTTTACTGAAGCCGGTGTCGACAAGATAGTTGAAGGTGTGGCCGTCGCAGTTGTAAGTGAACTTGTTGTTGGAAGCGGGAAGTTTCTGGAGGCACTGAGCGGCTATGCTGGTGAAGTTGCCGGTGAACTCTGTGAACTCCGCCAGGACCACCGTCCCCCGCGCGACGAAGCTGTAGATCAGCGATTGCTGCCCCATCTTCTGCTCTCGCGTCAGCAATCAACAAATAGAAACCCTAACCCCAGAGAAGAAGACCAACTGAACGGAGGAAAGGGAAGACAGGTCACAGGAGAGTTTTTCTTTTTTGGATCGCAGAAAATGAGCAAATATTTGTTATTTTATTTTGGTCTGGAAAGGGGAGAGAAATCAAATCAGCACGCAAAGGTAGCGTAACGGGACGGGCCATGCTCGTTGATGTACTTTGTAAATAAATAAAAAGACAATTTGGTTGAATATTATCATTAATTTTCTTGTTTGGTTCATGGTTGGTGTTTATTTGAATTTTAGGGAGGGGGAGAAGCTTTGTTTGATTATTTGAAGTAGGGATAGCAACAAAATCCGAACTCACGGGTACCCACCCGAACCAATTTGGTTAATGCAGGTAAAATTCGTGTTGATGGGTGTTTGTGCCTCGTAAATACTAGGCGATTTGCCGAGCTGGGGCGAGGCGCTTGTTCTTGGATGTAGGGGGTACTCCTGATACTCTGCAAAACAGCGGTCCGAGGCGGTTCGCCCAGGACACTCTCCGAAGCTTAAGTTAGAGAGAGAATGGGAGAGATAAGAATTTATGTAGAGAGATGGATAGTAGTTGGTCATACCATTAATGCACTCACCCTCTATTTATACCTGGTTTGATGGTGGTTGGGGCATTAAATGCTACGTCGGGCGCCTTGGGCCTGGTCGGGCGTCTCGAGCAGGTTTTTTGGGTCATGTCAGGCGTCCTGGGCAGGCTTTCAGCCTTTCTGCAGGCCGCCTGTGGCCGGCAATAAATGTTCAGTCTTGCCTGACACTAGATACGCATCTTCAACGGCTCTCTGCCTTTCTGTGCTGCTCAGTCGCTTTATGTCAGGCGCCGTTATCTATTTCTCGGGTTTGCAGTCGGTCAAGGACCGCCCGCTGACCCGGTCTTTCGATCGGGCCTGGCCTCCTTATTGGGCCTTAATTGCTGACTCACCTCTCTTGGGCCCGAAGCCCAAGTACGCTCAACTATGCGGCCCAACAACGGGTTTTGGGCAGGGTATGGGTTTAAACCCGTTCACTATTCATCGGATTGTGTTGGGTTTGGGTTTAGGTAAACCCGCCCCATGGGTACCCTCCCACACTCATATAATTAATTTTCTCGATATATTTAATATTTTAAACAACTAATCTTATTTATGTTTATGGAGACATGTCTAATTTTTTCTTTCTAATTGTATAAAATGAAGTTGATGTTATCGAGTGGAGAGTGAAGAAACTTAATTGAAAGAAGAAGTTTTGAATTAATCATGTTATTTATGGATAATTTGTAATTTGCTTCAATTTTCTTGAGTTTTCTAGATTGGTGTTGAACAATTTGTATAGTTAATTTGTGATTTGCTAGAATTTTCTAGAATGTTGTTTTATATATGAATAATTTGTATTGGGAGATTGATATTTGACTTTAATTTTGATAGGAACTTGTTATTGAAAATCATTTGTCGACAAAAACGCGTGGGTACCCATGAACCCGCGGATACCCAATGGGTTGGGTTGGGTTGGGTTTGAGTTTTTCAAACCCAGTGGGTTTTTCCCGAGTTTTTTCACGGATAAACCCATGGGTTTGGGTTTGGCAAAACCCGACCCATTGCCATCCCTAATTCGAAGGGACTAGGAAGGAGGTGTGTTGCGTGCCTACTCTGGTATAATAACTGAATGCATCAACTTTATAAAAAGGTAAAAGTGGATTGGACTAGCCGATGAAAGTAAAACCCGAACCCACGGTACACAACCCGGCCCAATCCGGTCAACGCGGTTTTTATCCGTATTGATGGATTTTGGGTCGGGTTTGGGTTTAAACCCGTACACTATTCACCGAGTTGGGATGGGTTTGGTTTAGGGGTACCCGATCTATGGATACCCGTCCACACTTATTTCGTATATCTACTCTCCCAAAACTCTACCCTAATTCTAATTTCCTCCAATCTAACTCTCACTACACTTATTCTGTGTCATTTTATTTAGTGTACTTGTGATATGTTTGAATTTTCTAGAATGATATTTAATGTATGCATACATTGTATGGGGAAATTGATATTTGAATTTTATTTTGATAGGAACTTGTTATTGTAAATTTTTTACCACAAAAATTCATGGGTACCCATGAACCTGTGGATACCCAACGGGTTGGGTTGGATTTGAGTTTACTAAACCCAGTAAGTTTTACCCCGATCTTTTTTACGAATAAACTCATGGATTTGGATTTGGGGTTGGCAAAACCCAACCCGACCCAATGTCATCCCTAGATTGGATCCGCCCCCATCTGTAATCTATCTATATCTATATCTATATCTATCTATATATATAATATAATGGCAATTCAAAATTAAATTTTGCCACATAAGCACTTGGAGAGATCTCAAGTTGCCAAGGTGAACAATTTTTTTACCAAAAAAATAGTTATTGACTTATTTATGGAGTTGTTCCTCTCTCTTCATTTAATATTTAATTCTCTTTTATCCAATACTTATTTTGCTTTTATTTTTGCATTATATCTATAAATAATACATGGAGAGAAAGGTTATCAAACCGGTTTAGCAAGTGGAATGGTTTTACCAGTGGTACAACCAGTTTGTGTCGTTTCATGCCGGTTAATAAAATAAGTAGAAATATCAAATTATTAATATCAAATTAATTTAATAAATATAAACCATATTTGAAGATAATTTACGTACAATTCATATTGATATTTGAATAAAATATGATATTTCAAATAAAATTACATGTACCCATACTTAAATTCACTAAAACTACGTAATTTACTTAGAAAATCGTAAAACGATCATGCCGGTCATACCGATGGTGTCATGTCGATTACATGATCAGTACCGATTGAATGGTTCAAACGGTGGCATGCCAGCCGACGTGACAATCATGATGGAGAGTGACATATATCATATTTTGATTTTGCATTATATCGATATACACAACAATATACTAATGTTCGTAGAGTGACATATATCACACTTTTTAAACCAAAAAATATATGATTAAAGATTACCATGTAAATTTCTCCTCATTTTTACTAAAACTTAATAATAATTTACATTTTAATGAATAATTTAAACAAACACACAAAAATAATAATATTTTGTCGATAAGTTATGAAAGAAACTTGACCAATAAATAATAGTTATTTATTAAAAAAGCTTCTTATTCATTCTGATCAAGTGAAAACATATGAATCGCATGTGCAGTATTTATAATGTATCCTAAGTTCACATTACTAATATTTTCTCTAGGTCATGTTGATTGAGCAAGCTCTATTGAGGTCTTACATCATGTGCTAAGAAAATTTCTTTTCAGACTTGGAGTTATTTATTGTTAAAGATTATAAATTGAAGTTTCCAAAATGACTTTGAGTATAATAGTTGAAGAACGAGTATTTTTAATGCTTCATCGTTTACTAAGTTATGGCGTTAAGAGTAAGACAAAGTCACGAGTAAAGATAGGTAACCTCGCTTAGTTAGCCACTAGCTAGACAGATCCCTACCGGACGATGGTAAGTTCCGCGGTAGATGATCACTACCGGATGCTGATACGTTCCGCGATAGTTGGTCAGGCGTGGAGCCGGACGGTGATGAGTTCTGCGGTTTCCATTGCTTAGATTTAGGTGTGCTACCGGATGGTGATACGTTCCGCGGTAGTCACGCAGTAGTTTGACACCGAACGGTGATTCGTTCCGCGGTGGTCAAACCCATTTGAGGGGCACCCCATTGTGAGGGTAGTCATGATTAAGGAAGTAAGTAAGGCTAGTAGTGGCACCAGCTAAGACGAGGTAGGGGCCCCAAAGTAAGATAAAGGATGAAATAATACATTTTACAAGAGTTAAAGTTTGAAAGGCGAGAGTAGAAATCATTTTCACAAGTTTGTTGTGAGCTTTTAGAGAATAATCTTAGGCGTTTCAAGTTTAAGTAGGGCGTAGACTGACCCCAACTCACTCACCAGATCGTAGAGGAGGAGATCCTAACCAGCCAGTCTGTGATCAGCAAGCTAGAGGAGTTCAACACCACTGTAGCTAATAGATCTCGAGCCAGGCGTCCGAGTATGCACCAAAGAAGTTTTTTAAGTTATTAAGGCTGTATGGTTAAGAGTTAAAGACTGGAGATTCATTTCTTTTGGACGATTTAAGTTTTGCCCACGTGTTTAGGGCTTCGCTTTGAGATATTAAGATATTTGAGTTTGCTATTTTATTTAAATTTGTGTTATTTAAGATTTTTAATTATACCCCAGGGTTGAAATTTCTTTTTCCAAGTTCAAAGTAGTGGGATGTTTCACTCACTGTATCTCTAATGGCTGAACTTGGCTCCGTACTTCGCGTGGTTCACCAAGTAGCCGATGAACTCGTGCTCTGTATCGACCATCCTGCAAATCATCCAAACACATATCATACGTGGAATAACTATCAGTTTCACATCAAGCGGAGAAAAGATTTCGCCCACACTTATGCTTCCACTACGATCATGTGCCGTGAAGTGATTGAGTCGTTCACGCCCCTTTTATAGGCCATACCCTCAGTTCATGGACGGAGGTGAATGTAACTCCCAGATCGTGAACTGTGGTAAAACGATCATTTTTGAAAACATGGGGAGCACCCTCAGTTCACGGACGGAGGCACCACTTCACGGTCATTAAGACCGTGAACTGGAAGCGAAAACCGTGAACTGAGTGAAAAAAAAACCAAGGGCACTCCCAACAATTTTTGACTCAATCTACTCAAGAGTGCCCCTAGTTGATCACACCACATCCCAAAACACAAAAACACATAGACTTGGCACGGTGATACCCCAAATTCATCACTTGAACTCTTCACACACACAAAAAGAGAAAAATAAGGAAAAGAAAACAAACCATCGCTGGGTTGCCTCCTAATAAGCGCTAATTTAACATTACTAGCTCGACGTTGCGGATCTATCATGCTTTAGTACATGAAGCCACCGAGAGTGGATCCGCCACGGTCT